AATCATAATTGCATAATGCCATACTATCAGGAATGCAAATCCATAAGGGAACATTAAAAAATATTGCTTTGTAAGTTACAGTCACTGAAAAGAAAATGTAAGACATGAAAACATTTCCTTTAAAATCACATTTTCTAAGTTGTTTAACTGGTCCCTCCTCCAAGTGAAATCTGAATTATCTTTCACTTCACAGTCCAATAAATTATTAATATAAAATGGGAAAATCTAGGGGAATGATAGCTTGTTTAGAGCTTTGGAGCATACACAGTAGATGAAGAGTTACAAAAACATGACAAAAATTTTGCTGTGAGGAGTTAATAAAGCAAAAGGGAACAGCTGGAGACTATTAAAAGCACTCATTAGAGAGAAGAAGCAGCAAACTGTTCTAATTGGGTCAGCTGACAGGTGGCTGTGCTCCAGCAGCACCCTCCCGGCAAGCACAGAGATTGATGCTACTGTGCGATCCTCAGATGAGGGGTGCAGCTGCAAACTGCCCTGCAGCTCAGGATACCCTAAAGGACCTCAAATGACCATTTCAAGTCATCTCGACACTCAACAGTGCACAGGGAGCAAAATGAGTGGTGTATGTTTGGGAAGGGAAGAAAAACACTGAGGGTGCATAAAACATCGGTCTCTTACCTAAAGCTATGAATCCAGCAACTGATATCTGATACGCACTGCATGGATATAGGCAAATCTTCATAACCTTTGCATACCTCCACTTCTCAACTCAAACAATTCTCACTTCACTAGACCCTCCAAAAGTTTATGGTTCAGTCAATTAACACGTAACTTCTGCAGAAAAATACTGTACGGAAATGCTCCCTCCCACAACCGGCAACTAGGCAACTCTCCCACTCTCTTAATTATAATGAATAAATAACTCTCCCACCCTACTTATTCATAATGAATGTCAGAAAAATCCTATGTGCAGGTGACCACTTGTTAACTTACTGAGCTCTCTCTTTTTATATATATGTATATATATATACACATACATATATATAATTAGGAATCATGCTTCCAGTGACCCCAGAACTGACAGAGATTAAAGCACATAGAACCAGCTTTCCTGCAACTCAGTCAACAATGCACAGCTCATACTGCTTCCTGCCTTCAATCACCCTTAGCAGTTTTACATCAAAGTCACAGCACACGTTAAAGAAAAATGGGAAAAGCTATACGTATATTCTGTATTTCATGTTTCATACTGCAGTTGTAGTAAGGGCTAGATAATCACTAACAGACCTTCTGGGAAAGGCAACTTCAATACAAAGCTCTCAAATACTTATGGCTGTCATGCTTTATCAGGAATGTTTCTTACTTTCTGCACTTTCAGGCCTCAAGCTATATTATCTGATGCACAGTCTTGCTGAGCACAAGCAGTGATCCCAGCTGCACCGACAAGAGATTGCTTGCTTTATTTACAGTAGCTCAATCTGAAACACAGTTACGACAGTGAATTTGAATTCACTATAATGAATTTGTCTTCTCTTGCAGAAATGCAAGATACGGTAACTCTTGCATGAGAATGCTTGAGGCTCTACCTGAAGTACTTGCCACCACCTCAAACCAGTACCCTTTCTGCAATACTCCACATCAACACTATTATTTGGGGAAGTTTGGAAGTGAACTATTAAAGTGACTGACAGTAATTCACTCAAGCACAAAAAGTGCCAGGTCAGGGCAAGGAGCTTGCTGATCTGAGTGGGAAGTGTCACGCTGCAGCAGCTGCCTCCATCGAATCTGACTTGTGAATAAAGGACTTGTTTTCCATCTTGGCTTTGAATTAAATTTTGGTAAACACAGACATTTGCCGAAACATTTAAAACAATTTATTTGACTCTTGAATGAATGGTTGTTTTTTCTGGAGCAGAGTCAAAGCCTGAACCTCTATTCAGAGAAAATTTCAAATGATCGGTGAACAGTGGAAATTCCTGTCTCTGTGTCTGATTTTTGCAATGACAGCAATTCTGATTTTCACAGTTTGAAAAAAATAAATAAAAGATCACCCAAGGAACAAAAAGACGTCAAGGTGTTTTTCCAACATCTTCTTTCCTGCCCTTTTTCCCCCTAAGGATCAGAGCTGAGAGGAAGGGATGCTTCTATTAATCACAACCTAATGGCACAGCGGGAGTTCACTGAGTGCATAACTTTACAAACCTTGATTTTGAAATCTTCTTCTTCCCTGTAAGAGACCACTTTAAAGAGGTGCTGAGCTCCCATACTTTCCTGCTGAAATTTCTGAGACAAAATGCATACTCTCAGCTTTTCGAGAGAGGCAGTGTTCATGGCCACCGACCAAGCTGCCAGAGTGGCCTCAGAAATCTCTCCATTGTACAGAACACCTTCCAAAAGAAGCAAACCTTCCTTTTTCCAAACAAACAAACGAACAAAAGAAGCAAAATATCAGTGCTTGGACAAAAACGCAATTAGCCACTGAATATTCCAATTCCAAAGGTTGAGTTCCTTTCCTCAGACAAACCTGACTGGTAAAAACAGAGGAGGTACCAGGCCTTAGATATAAACATTCTCCAGTGCATTTCATGTCTATAACTGCTGACAGCACAAAGGCTTCTCAGGATCTTGAGCAAAGAGTTCAACGTTCTAGAGCAGTCAGCAGCTTTGTGTTTTCCAGCTTTTCATCTGAGGCATAATGAAAGAAGAGAAGCAAAAGCTGCTTGTATCCTTCCTGTGCTTTTAAGGTATCAGCTCACCTTCAGGCTCATCTCATAACAAATGACTTAAATTCATTTCTCTGATAAATCACAGAATCACTGAATCGTAGGGGTTGGAAGGGACCTCCAGAGATCATCAAGTCCAACCCCCCTGTGAAAGCAGGTTCCCTACAGCAGGTCATGCAAGTAGTTGTCCAGGCCTAAAATACAGAAATTATTTAATATGCTAGCAATATTTTTAAGCATATGAAACACAGAGATCTCTTAACTGCAAGCTTATTGTTCAAACAGTCTTTGTAAAAAACAAAACAAAACAAAAACATGACACTTTGTGGTGAGTTTTCAGTAAAATAAAGTCAAATATTAGGGAAGAACCATTAAGGACAATGAGACTATCTGTGTGCTAAAGGGCTGCCCTGGCTCATGCACAGATGTACAACCAACTGCTTAGTTTTTTTTACAGCCAGATCAGCCTATTTATTCTGCAGATTTCTGAAACTACCATGCCACAGAATCCATTACCTTAGTTTTAAAATACATGCCAGCAGATTTCTTTACACCTCTGAGAAAAAAAAAATTTAAAACACAGTCACATAGCATGTTATTTTGTTGAACAGCAACAGTCTTAAAAATGCTTAATATTCAGAATGAGCAGCTTTTGTTGAAATGAATTTCACTGGCAGGTGGCCTACTCATTACTCTGACAGGAACAACCACCCTTTCTGAGTTGCGCGACTGACACTCAAACTTGGCCAAGGAGGGATGGAGGACAGATCACAGCAATGTTTCCAGGCTTCTAACAATCAACTGGAGATCTAACCAGAAAGAAAATACAGTTTTGATAAAGGTTGCCAATGGAGTCTCATAAGACAGACAGCCTTGTCAACAAAACAACTAATGCCCTCAACAGATGGCCATGTTTTATTTGCTTTAGACTGTAGCTTCTTACTGATTTACGTGTAGGTATATATATGTATATGCATGTAAAGAATTAAATATAACTTCCTAAAGAACACCCCAAAGCAAGAAATGAAAGAGATGATTTCTGTTAATTTTTAAACCTACATAAACATAACAAATTAGATTTCATTTCTGCATTTCAGTTCTGCTTAAACTCTCATCCACTTGTACTGGAAAAGGGGCACATTGTGTCATTCCTCTGACATTATACGTAATTTATAGAATTAGCTGTTCCCAGGGCTTTGCATGACAAATAAAAAATTGCACTGAAATACAAAAATAAACAAACAAACAAACAAACACAGCCCTATTACGTGGAAATACAACCAATTTTCTTTGAATCCATCTGGCCTTAGCTTGGACTGAAACCATTGCTTGGAATGTGTTCTCTTCAGCTCATCCACAGCACATCTTGTACTTTACCGGCCCTTCAAAACATCTTAAAATAGCAGTTTATTCTCTCTTTGTTCTCCAGCAACCACAGTCCCTCGCTTGTTTTGTTACATCTGGCTTGCAACATGTCATGGGAGAACATGAAGCTCTCCTATCACTGAACATCCTGTAGCTCTCTATGGGGCTGAGTGCAACCAACTGAACCTCTGTTACAGAGAAAGTAAGGTTTACTTCCACCTTTTTGTCATCTTAGTTTGGTGGTGGAGAGCACGAAAGGAGACCGGGTATCAGGCATCAAACAAGCCAACCACCACCCTTGCGTCCATGTTTTTCACTCAGTATTTGTACAGCTACTGCCAAGAGATCCTGGTCTGTGACAAAGGCTTATGGGCATTATGACAGTTCAACTGTTGAAGAAAATAACAACCGTTGTTATGAAAAGCAGCTCATCCAGCTTTATTACCACCTTCTTATTTCAAAGAAAGAATACAAAACCAAACCTGGATCTGAGATCAGAGCCCTGGTGTGAAAAAACTGTATACGATCAGAAAAAAAATCAGAGGCTTAGACTCACTGGATTGCTTAGTTTTCCAATTTTTCTCCAGCAAGGCTGCACAGTTACACAGCCACATTTCAACCTATAATCTTGCCTGAATATTCACAGTGATAACTTCTGGCAGAATTATTATGTCTAACTATTGTACCATCCAGATCCAACCTCATAGAAGGACTGAAATTCAACGGCATTCGTGACTTGCTGCCAGCTTACAAAGATCGAACAGGACAACTACATTCAACAGAAGCAGTCTTCACATTAAGGCCAACAAAACTAAGGACCAGGCAGGACAAAAAATGTAACGCTGCAACACTGATGCCTCAGTCTCCCACTTTTCAGCCCTGCAGTTTGAACATAAGCATTATGTATCTACACTGGGAAATCAGTAATAGGATCCTTTTGTTTAAACATACCAGATATCTTTCCTCCTGCCTCATGCTGGGGGTACGGATCATATGATTCTGTTCTCCTCTCCAGTCTCCGAAACGTCGGAAAAAATAATTGGATAGAAATCGATTGACAGGATCTCTAATAATATTGATGTACACCGGCTGGTCTCCTCCAAACCTGGTGGGAAGAAAAAAATGGGTGAATGTCATCAGAAGATTTCAGACTGGCGCACCTGAAGGTTCTCAAACTGTGTGCTATAGAGTTCAGAGCACTTACAAGGCTAGAAGCAAAACTGAGCAAAACGCTTACAACTGCACACAAAACTCTGTAAAAGCACACAAGATCTCTCAAGGATTAAATGTAACTACAATATCCTATTAAGCTGTAGTGGACTATAAACATTTTAGTTACACTAAAGGTAACCTATTTCCACTGTATCTATGGTCATGCTTCTGTTTTCTCCTTACAGTTTTCAGATGAAAAGCTTCCTGCAGATTAAACTAAGGACAAATGTTTCTTTTTCTAAATGCTTCCTGCCTTGAAAATCGTGTCAGAGCAGGCAGTGTCTGATGCTGGCTGCCACGAGGCAGCCCTGAACCACCTTCACATGTACAGTAAGAGTAAGAACACACGAAAGATTTTGTAACACTCAAGCATATTTCAAAAGGCTCCCCTGGATGAGCTGAAAGATATGCATGGTATTTACATCTTTTTATTTGCTGTATCTTGTGCAGATCTTCCTCCCCTCACCTCCAAGCCTGCTCCATATCTGGATTTGAGGTCATTTAGTGGTTAACGTAGTGCTCTGCCCTCATACTGCATTTACTGGAAATTTTAAAATATTAATATGAAAATTCCTGCATCAAAAAACAAATTAAGTATCAATTTCAAGTACACGCAAGTGCAAAGAAAAATAAAGGGTAAAAACATCTGGTGTCCAGGGGCTGTATAAAAGACAGCAAAGGAATCTGCAGTTGAGGGTACCTGCCTCTGCCTAGTAGTTAGGACAAGCATGTTCCATTTAATATGCAGGATATACCAGGAGAAAGAGATGAAAAGGGAGCTTGAGCAGTTAAGGCCTGTGATTATACTGCTTTTTCAGAACATTAAAATATTGACTGCTTATTTAACATCAATACCCATCACCAACAAATGATGCTAATATCCAAGTCACCGCGATTACGCTCTTCCTTGGTCAAAACAGAAGCATGGACGTTTACGTTCTGGAACAGACTTATGGATTATAATGATGTAAGACCAAGCAAATTAAACTTATTTGGATTGAGATTTTCCTAGGAGAAATCCAATTTGGAATTTACCTGATCTAATTATGATTAGGTTTGCCCCATGTCCCCATTGCAGGGAACAATCCTTTGTTAAGCCTATTATGTATTTTGAAAGCTTGAGGACACCGCCATATTTAAGTATTTTAATGCTGCTCAAATGATTTTCTAAGTCACAGTTTATGTTTCTTTTAAAATGTAAACTGTTAGGATACCATTTAGGATACCATTTAGATTTTAAAAGTTCTCAGTTTTTCTTCGTCTCGCATCAGATGAACAGCTGAATACGTACAATAAAAGACCAGGGTTTTTATAAATATTAAAGACCCAGCAAAATTGTTTAAAAATGTTAAAGTAAGTGACAATAGAAAAAATATTACATGAAACAAAAATATTAAGTAGGAGACAAGAGAAATCCCATCCAGTTTCAACTTCATTTTTATTCCACACGATTCCTTTGGATAGCAAGGTCATTATTTATGCATACCTTTTCTAAGCCTATCAATAATTACGCAAATAATTTCTTCATTTATGCATATCAGTAATCTCATTGACCGTAACGCAGCCACAATTTGAAAACACACAAACAGCAAAAGCCTTTCAAACAATCCAATTAAAAAGGCAGATGCTCCTTGCTTCCTGATTAGTACATAGGCCCATTAGGACATAAGCATGCAAGGGAAGTTTTCTGAATTCTTCTCTAAGATATTTTTTGTTGCTCTTTTCACCTTCATACAGAAATAAGACTTAAATGAAAAACAGACGCTCCCGCAATTACTACAGAAAATTAAAGGCATTAAGATTTGCCAGCACACATCTAAATAGAAAAAGGTTGGTGAGTGCCATGGTTGGTAGCCATGAAAATGATCATTCCAAGTGAAATTGCTGGCAAGATTAGGTGCACCTGAAGTACTGAACACATATTTTTTCCTGCTGTCTGATTAACAGTAATCTAAAGACAGAAGTGAGAGGAGAGTAGTAAAGAAAAAGGGAAGTGATGAAGACATCAAGAAGAGATGACCACGGCAGCAAGCTGTCTCAAGACAGAGACAAAAATTACAGGAGCCAGAGGGCAGGGATATCCAGCCTGGGATTTGTAGATGCTAAGCCTAAGAAAGAAAAAGCAAGAACAGATGGTTACCAGTGTCTAGATACAAATGCTCACTGCCTTTTCTGAAGAAAAAAGAGGGACCAAATTGCATAACCAAGCAGCCCAAGTAATAGAGCCTGTTCTTTTCCTGGTAAAGTCGTGTCCCTGAACATCTGAACTTCAGATGCAGTACCAACAGCTCTGAGAAGAGACATATGCAAACTCGTCTGTCCCCAGAGGATGGCTGGGATGGGAAGTCACTCACTGAGAACTCAGAGGAACTTATTTCTAAAATAGAAACTGCAGTCTCCCAGAAAAACAGGCAGCTCAAATTTCTGATCTCTTGCACACTTTAACCAGGCCGGTACAGACCCAGCTGCAATTGCTACATCAGGCAGCAAGAAGAAAAATTTTCAGAAAACTCAAGTCTGTTCCTGTTCATATTCAAATGTGCGTGTTTTAAGCATAGTTTATTAGACTTCAAATTCCAATCACTTGTTTCTATAGACTGTACTGAGACTATTGGTTGGAAACACAGCAGCAGCTGAAGGACATAAAAAACCCCAATGATTAAAAATCAATAACCTCAGGCTACTTAGAGGAAAAAAAAGGAAAATCAATGCTCCATTTGGCCGAGTATGTTCTGTGCATTTTTAGTTATCTATCAGCCACATCATATTAAATATTACTTAGCTCTCTAAAACACAACTTTTCAAATTAATAACATCCATAAAAATGTTGCAGCAAGCAATAACATAAAATGCTCTCATTACATATCATATAAGCTTATGTATACTCAAGTAATTGTTGCAAAAGATCAGAAAGGAAGCCAATTATGTTCTTCCAAAGAAGGTTTATCTTCTCTGGGAAGCATCTGGATCTTGCATGATAAACATTCTAGATGGATCCCTCTCACGCCCAGCAGTGCATCGCTTTAATTGAGTTGAGTGGGACAGGACACCACTTCTCCAATGGAGAGCTCAAAGGGTCCGCAGAGCTCTTCCCGCACTTAACTTCTCCTGATTTATTTAACAGATGCTATTACATCATGTTTGTTTTAACTGCTCTGTTGTGACAGGTATATTTTCAGAGTCCTCATCAAAATAAATAGCCTACAGACAATAGCCTACTGACAGACTTCAATCAACAACACTAAGATTTACTAATATTTCCCCATTTCTCTCAGTTTTTGTTTTGTTTTTTTTTTTTAATAAAATGAAGGGAAAAAGAAGGCTGAGAAATACGCCAGATGTTGTGAGTCTGCCCTAGAAAAATGTCTCTGATAAATTATGATTTTATTATTTATATGAGCATAACCTTTGCTCAAAACAGCTTACAAACCCCTTCTAAGCTAATAATAATAATAATAAAAAAAGTTACGGAATTCAAAAAACTCAACCAAGGCAATTTGATTTACTGCCGAATGGAGGATTTCTGAGCTCCTGCTATTCATCATTTCAGTTCTTTTTAAGAAAGGTTAAGTATGATTTCAGACCTACTGCTTCACATCAGAAGGCTGCTGCACTTCTGCTCAGCACAAAACTCTGCACAAACAGAAGTGTGCTTTTTATTCCCTACACATACAGGAAATCAAGATACTCAACCTTTTATCTGTAAGAACTATGATTCCCTATCATTCTTGTCATGTAAGTTATATCCATTTAAATTAGTTAGTTGCTACAAGTTCAGTATAATGGAAGCAAACAGGAAATAGCAGTGACTTAATGTTCATATGGATTGGCGTCCTTAGAAAGGAAGCATAATTTCCTTTTGCAGCTCTATACAACCATGGTGAAAGCCCAATTACCTAGGAAGCTTTACAGATGAATTATGTTAGAGCTCCATTACCTGATCTGCAACACAGTTTCAAAGGGAGATCATATTAAAAACAATAATGTAAAACTTTCAGCTTTTTGGAACGTAAGATGCAGTAAGATCAAATTCTGTCTTCTGAAAATGTGTTTTATTTGCAGAATTAGAAACTCAAGAAACACATCTGGCAAAGCAACACCATTCTGTACATGAGACAATGGGCAGCTCAGTGTTGCTCCACCAACCCTCTCCAACAACGGGCTAACACCTTTTCTGCAACAATTCCCAGAGGAGAAGGCTGAAGTCTTGTCTGCATGGTGCTGCACGGTTCTGCCAACCTTCAAACTCAGGGAGTTTATAGTCCTAAATCTGTGTCTTTAACCTGTGCTGTAGTTATGCTTTCAAGCTTTCTGTTAGAATTTTGGAAGGAAAAAAATAATGTGAGCTGAGATACATTTTTATAGTTTTAAGACTGCATTTGAGGGCTGGGCTGCCCTCAAAAGGAAGGTATGATACAAGCTGCACAGTGATTCAAGGTTAACAATAAAATGGTGCAAAGCGACAATATTGCACTCATTAATTACATCTTCTAGAACTATGGCATCAATAGTAGGAATTTTGAGCTTCTGAATTGCCTTGTATAGGTAATATCATTGTAAAAAAATACCAGAAGAATAGCTTAGTAAGCTGCCTTAGACTAGTGAACAGCTAGCAGCTTAGACCATCAGGCCTTGTGTTTCACTATCCTATAAATCTCCCAGAATATTTGACGTTGTATTTCTGCCAGCCTTTACCTTCCTGCATAGTAAACATAGAGTGAGTTATTTTCCCCCTATGCCTTTCATCATGCTAAGGATATGAAAATAGTTTGAAATACAAATTCATAACGAGCAGCACCAATACAGATGCAAGCCTTGCCTGTGTCTGTAAAGCATCCCCAACTCAAGCAAAGGTAACACTTAAGGAGGAAAGACTAGCTGTGTTTTCATTTA